TTCTAAAAAAAAGGAGACCCAATGAGTACCTCAGATCGAGAAAACTGGAAGAAATATGTTGATGTGGAGGCATTTGAACAGCTACAGAAGAGGATGCAAAGGACAGAAGAAACAATGGAAGCCATTATGAGAACATACAACCCAGAAACAGTGATACAGAAGAAATATATTGATAAGAAGCAAATTGAACAGATACAGAACAAAATGCCAAAAATGGAAGAAAGAATTGATAGTATAGATAAAGTACAAGAATTAAAAAAAAATCATCACAACACAAAGAGGGTACAGCCAACACAGTACTGCAAATAACAGAAAAGCATTAAATACAATCAATTTTAAGTCTGATTTGACAGAAGTACTTAATATGATGGTGGGACCAAAAAAGTAGAACTGCAGAGATGGTAGAGTCAGTGAGCTGGAAGAGCCTCACTGGAAACATACTAAAGATGAAGAAAACATTAGAATCATGTGGTATGACATCAAAAGGAACAACATACGTATAACTGGAATTCCCAAACATGGGAGTAACAGGGATGTCACTGAGAAGATTGTGGAAGGAGTACTAGAAGAAAATTTTCCAGGTATTTTGAAGAATGGGGAAATTCACATTCAAGAAGCACAGCAAACACCAAATAGACTAGACCTCAAATTAAAAACATCAAGATATAATAAAATTATCCAAATTAAAAGTTAAGGATAGAATATTAAAAGTGTGTGAGAAAAACAAAGAATCCCCTACAAAAGGGGAAAGAATTAGACTAAGTTCTTATTTTTCAGCAGAAATCATTAAACTAAAAGGCAAGGGGATGGCATATACACAAAGTTGAAAGAAAAACAATTGCCAACCAAGGATCCTATATCCAGCAAAGCTCTCCATCAAATAAGGAGAAATTAGATCCTCTGAAGAAAAGAACTTAAGGAATTTGTGAAAACAAGATCAAAATGATAAGAAAGGTTAAGTCAAGTCCTTCCTACAGAGACACCAAAGGAAAGTGGATGAACCACAATAACCAGAATCAACAGAAAAAGAAACACAGTAAAATGGCAATAGTAAAAACCTGGCCCGACAATAATCACAATGGACTAAATGTACCAATTAAGAGAAAAAAGAATAGCAGAATGAATAAATAAAACAAAGCCCACCAATTTGTTGCCTACAAGAGATACATCTAAAAACGGAGAGGAAGACAGACTAAAAAAAAAATCAAAGGCTGGAAAAAAAATACCAAGCAAATGACAGCCACAAAAAAGTGAGTGGCAATATTAATCTCTTATAAAATGAACTTCAGAATGAAAACCACAATAAAAGATAGGAAGGGCATGACATATTAATGAAAGGCACAACAGATGAAGAAGACTTAACTTTGGTGAACATTTATGCTCTAAATGAAAGACCAGAAAAATACATAAAACAATCGTTAACAGAATTCAAGAAATAGTACCACAATAGTGGTAGGAGACTTCAACACAAACATTATCACCAAAGAGTAGCTCAACTCAAAAGAAACGTAATAAAGATTCAGAAGATCTAAACTATACATAGTATTCAGCGTACTGAACCCAACTAAAACTCAATACACTTTCTTCTCAAGTACACATGGCACATTCTCTAGAAATCAGTCACACAAATGAAAAAATACTAAAATGATACAAAGTTATCTTCTCAGACCACAATGCCATAACTAGAAATTAACTACAGGAGGGTAAAGCTTACAAAACCACCCATGTGGAAAGTAAATAAAGATGGGGGAAAGGACAAAAATGGATGTTAGAAGAGACGTTCAAACTTTTTTTTGACCATAGAGTAGCTAAGGATGGAAGAAACTGTGAAGTCAAACGGCTGAACAGAAGATTTCAAAGGCAACCTGAGAAGTCAAAATAAAGTATTACAATGAATTGTGGGGAAAATACGAAGGCAGAAAAGAGGAAGGATATGCTTAGCATTTCTCAAGCTGAAAGAACTGACCAAAACAAAATTAAAGCTTGAGTTGCAACACTGAAGGATTTTATGGGAAAAATACTGACCAATTCAGAAAGCATCAAAAGATGGAAGGAATATATATTATCAAAGTACCAAAATAGAATTGGTTGATCTTCAACCATTTCAAGAAGTTGCATAAGATTAAGCAAAGAACAACATTAACTACAACAGGCCAAATATCTTTTAAAATATAGTTTACATTGACAGGAATGGGAATTCTAGAACACTTAATTGTTCTCCATCGAAATCTGTTCACAGATTAAGAACAGTTCTTTGAACACAAGAAGGGGATACTGCATAGTTTAAAATTAGGAAAGTTATGTATTAGGGTTATATCACTTCTCCATATCTATTGGATCTGTATGCTGAAAAAAATCATTAGAGAAGCTGGATGACATGAAGAAGAATGGCATTAGGATTTGAGGAATCAGTGCTTTGGTAAGCAGCAGTCGATGCTCATGACTTCTCATGGAGAATAGACAATGACTCATAGTATCCCTATGAACAACAGACCTGACCCTTGCACTATCTTATGGCACTCTCAGCATCTCTGATATACTTGAGCCCTTTGTTATAGTCAGGTATCAATTCATCTCGTTTAAGGTGTGACCCTCTACCTTTCCAAGTATGACATCTTCTTCCAAAGACTGACCTATCCTATCAACATACTCAAAGCATGTGAGATAAAATTTCACCATCCTTGCCTGTAAAGAGCACCCTGGTTGTATTTACTCCAAGACACATTTGTTACTTTGGCAGTTCATGGTATATTCAGTACTCTTTTCCAACACCACAACTCAAAGGCACCAATTCTTCTGTCCTCTTTATTCACTGTCCAACTTTCAGATGTATAGCAAGTAATTGGAAAGACTAGGGCTTAAATTAGGTGAACCTTAGTCTTTAAACTGACATCATTGTTTCTTTGCACCTTACAGAGGTCCTTAACAGCAGATTTCCCCAATGCAACGCATCTTTGATTTCTTAATTCCTGCTACCAAAAGTGTTGATTGTGAATCCTGGAAAGATGAAATCATTGACAACTTCAAACTTTTCTCTACAGCAGAAAACTCACCAACTTAGATACACATCAGCTAGGAGAGGTTATTCCTTGGAAAGATCATCATGCTAGGAAAGGTGGAGTGTCACTGAAAGAAAAGACCTTCAACAAGTTGGAACCATACAGTAACTGGAACAATGGACTTGAGTATAGCAGAGATGGTAAGAATAAGCACCAGATAGGGCAAGGTTCATATCTATTGCTTATAGGATAACTAACTATGTGTTATAGTCTATTCTCAATGGCATCTAATAACAACAGTATTAGATAATTAAGACACATTGCAATTTAGCTATATACAACTGTATAAGGATTTTGTCTTCAGTCAGACTCTCTTTTAAATTTATATTAGCTTATGAAGCCAATATTATCCCAAAAGCCTGTGTAAGTCAAAGTCAAGTAAGTGGCTTTTCCTTAGAAGGAATGTGTTCTTATATTCGTCCACTGCAGAAGCAGTAAGCTCCCTTTATGTATTTTAATGCCCTTTAGATAGTCTCCACTTCATTATATTCTCTCTGATATTTTTGGCAGATATGTAAATAATGTGAGAGAAGGAAGGGTAATCCTCGCCCATTTGATTAAGTGCCTTTGGAAACCTCCCTTACTGGAGGATGAGCTATGGGTCGGTTCCTACTAGATGGTACACTATAATAACAACAACAAATAAATATTAGGAGTTCTTGCAGCCTAGTGGTAAGGAGTAGTGCTGATAACCTAAAGGTAGGCAGTTTGAATCCACCAGCTTGCTCTATAGGAGAACAACAGGCAATTTCCTTCTTTGAGATTTACTGCCTCTGAAAACCACTGGATGTTTATCTATAGGTCAGTTCTGACTCAACAACAACAAAATATTAAGAGAGGTTTGTACCATGTTAGATATGAAGCGAACTACAAACAACTAACACTTCTTACTGTATGTATTTTAAAAAAATTACTAATTTAAAACATAGGAAAAGACTTTGATTTTTATTCAGTGTTGACAGACTAATAGCTTTCAATTTTGATTATAAACCCAGTAATAAAAACTATTTTGTTAAAAGATCTATTTCTATGATAAAACTAAAGTGTGTTTCTTTAGCAGATTAATTGCTGAGAGATCATCACTTTAGTTACATAAAATCTAAATGGAAGTTTTAATGTTTCTTTTTTAGCTACATTGTAACTTATTCCCACTAGAGCAGCAACTCTGCTTTCAAAAGGGGTTATTATCTACACTTTTTCTTTACTCTAAACTGCTATTAGGAAAAATCTACAAAATGAAATATTACTATTGGAAATTCATACTGCATATTAAAATTTTAGATAATCTTGAATCCATTACTTAGTTGCCACTTATAATCTTAATATTTAATAAAATGTATTAAGCTGTAGAGTATTTTTACATAAAGAATACTAGTTACATAGAGTAATAATAAATTTTGTTGATGAATTGCTAAAATAGATCAAGGGATTATTATTGTTCAACTTCTGTATATTCAATGCATTTAAAAATTAGATGACATGAATTATTATTGCAAACTTCAGAAGCATTTATTGTAGAAATACACAAAATTAAAATGAATACTTAGTTCATTAGTCAATATAGACAAGAGAAATAGAAACTACATGTTTATCGGTACAAATCTGTATGAATTTCCTTGGCATGATTCTAAGCCTCAGAACACTTAGAATACATTTTTAATTGGAATGAAGATTACAATTATTTATAGGTACAATATAAATAAATAATTTTCAGAATGGAGACTTTTAAAAGTTAATGAAAACAGAGCTTAAAACCATTTTTTACTCTGAAACTAATTTTCACACACTGGGAAATATCAGAGGACCCATACTATATTTTTGCACAAGTTCTTTAAGTGAGTTTGGAGTTTATCAAGACTTAGAAAATTATCTGGAAATAATAAATTAATGCCTGTTAAGGAATGGTAATCTATAATGAATGAAAAATGAAGTTGAATAGGTTTAGAAAGATCTGTTGTTTTCTTTTTTCTGGGCTTCTTCATGAAACTCGGTGACTGACCTACACAACATTTCCAATGTTATCAATAAGGCCTCAGTGTGTACTCCAGGACATATTCTCAAATTCTCAGGCAATTCCTTAAGAATATTTGGAAGCTTCTGAAAGATTTTTGTATTTCTAGCATAAAGATCCAGTAACCAATCAGTATGAGCACTGGTAGACTCTTTAAAACTCTTACAAGCTATAAGCAGTTCACTGAGATGAGTTAACCCTTTGAAAGCTAAGAAGAACTCTGAAGATAAATTAAAAATGGAACAAAAATTAAGGATCATCCTACTAAGTAAAAATGAGCCAAACTCAAGTTGTTGGTAGTAAAAATGTTTTTCTGCTTGTGCATGAAAGTTTTCTACAGTGTCTTCTATTTTTGTAACAGCAAATAGTTCTTCCTTGATTTGAGGTGAGACTATGAAATCCAAGGGCAATTCTCCATTAGAGTTTCTCTGCTGTAAAAGTACTGGTCCTGTGTAAAAAGAAAATGCAAAATGTTAAAGATCTTTATTTTGTAAGTTTAACAACTGATTTCCCTCTTTCTTCACACCCCTCAAAAGCATTTAGGGCTCTGTAAACAATTAGTGTATATTAATTTATGCTGACAAAATTAACTAGCTATACATATTGACGTTTAATAAAGTTATATTACAATAAAACAAAATTTCAGTTGTCTAAAAAAGTTTGACTAAAAATACATGTTTTAATTAAACAAATAATACATAAGTATACATGAGAAAAAAGTAATGATTTATATAAAACTTTATAAATTCAACTTAAATGAGATTTTGAGTGTTCTCAGGAGAAATTAACAAAACATATTCATTTAAATTCTGTACAAGCGTCTTAAGGGTACCTCATGTTATCATCAAAAAGATATTACAGTATCCAACCCCTATCATGGCTAGTAAGGGATTTGGTAATACAAAAACTGCAGAGATAAAAAAAAAAAAACATTTTTCATTTTACTCTTGCTTATTTCAACTTTTAGTACTAATAACAAAATAACAAAAATCAAATGTCAATTATTTTGGATTACTTCCACTCATTATATCCAAACTAAACATATTTACTTAAAAAGTATGGTAGTAAAGATTATGTAGGAGGGACAACATAACAATAACTCAGCCTTGGGTCACACAGCAAACTAAAGAACTACTTTGTATTATGTGTCAGCCAAACCTTCAAATTATTAATTCACACCTCTATAATAATGTTACAAGAGTATAAAGGTTTTAGGACACAGTCAAAGTTCTCTATGATGTAACACAGAAGATATTTTCATAAAAATAACAAAATGTTTAATCAATTTTATCAAACATAATTAAAGGCTTGGATATAACATACATTTGACATGAAAAGATTAATCATTGAAGCTTTATGATTAATGCACATTTTATAGATAAAAATAATTCTAGAAGAAAATCAGATTTCTTTGTACTTAATTAGTATCTCAGAAAATTAAAAAGTTCCAAGTTTTTCCCTTGAAGGAAAAAAAAAAAAAATTAGGACCACAGGATAACAAAAGTAATTTAAAGTTTTAGAGACACATAAATTCTTAAAAAACCCCACATTTAAGACTGAGTGACTCACAATATATAACGTAGATTACAAAATATTAATAAGGCAAAGAAAAATCTATATAACTGCCAAAGGACCCTGACTTAACTCTTTGGAAAATGACATCATCTCACTAATTTCCTCTAAAGGGCCTAGGAAAATTCACCTTTGTTGTTAGAGGCCATACTTGACTGAAGAACTGAATTTCATACAATAGTGGGTCTTACTTTACTTAGACCATCTAAAGCAACGCCAAATATTAGGTTGTCAGAAATATGGTTGAGAAAAAAAAATAATACTAGAGTTCAGTAAACACACATGCACACACAGAGAGAGTAGAAGAATTGAAAGCTATATTGATTATGAAATGGTGTCAGTAAAAATAGACACATTAAGGCCTTTAGGGGGCAGAAGAAGACTATAAATAACCAAGTATCTTATACTACCATTCAATACAGTTAAACAGTCTTTTTAAGATGAGTATATAGTAATATATCTACTATATCTACATAGTAAGAGATATCTACAAAGCATGTCTTTTTGTTTGCATGTACAATCAAGTAGCTCTAATTACAGGGGAAAAATTTAACTAATGTTAAATTCTAAGTTGAAATTAGTATAAAACCAATAAAATAAGAAAGTTGAGTCTTTGTTTCTGCAATATAAGCTACTCATCAGTTATGTTTTATGTTTTTTTTTAAATAGAAAAAAATTTTAAAAATTTTGATGTAGAATGTATTATTCAGTTCAGATAAAGAAGAATGTCACTGTAAAAAGTTTGCTTGCTGATTAAAAAAAGAGATAAAAATGAGTAAAAAGAGTAGATATATATTAAGTGCAAGTTACCTCTTGAACAAAATCCCACAGAAAATCTTCCCATTTTAACTTAATTGCCTGCAAAATGTGAATGAAGAAAAGATATCCTTGGATATCAACAATATAGTCTATAAAGAAATGACTCATATAAAAAATAAGACTGACCAAGTTTGTAGTTATATACAAATAATGAGGCAAGAATTTTAAAAAATCCAAGCAATCACAACCAAATATATACATTCATTTATCTAAAAACTTTTGCAAATAACTCGTTCAAAAAACATTATGTAGGGATCTCTGGTGGTGTAGGTCATAGCGAGCTGGGATGCTAATCCAAAAGACATTATGTGCTTTAAATAAAACTATTAATATAGAAATCCAATATATCTAGTTAAAAAATACATTCTCTTTTATTGATTTAAATAGATATAATAATATAGTAAATGCATATTACAGAAAGGCTTTCATCCCTTCTGATAAAAGATGCTTACATTTGAGCAGACTTTTTAATCCTCACTTTAAATTATATAAGAATAAAGGCTTCTTTCAATATATCTCTTAAATATAAAGTGTTATCTACCTCTGAGGAATTCATCAGAAAAATGGATAATTTATCAAAAACAGTTTAGCATAAATGCACTCACCCCCATGCTGGAGTAGCAGCTTGCCAATTTCTACATGTCCGTTTGACAGTGCATCATGCAAAGGAGTCACCCCGTCCACTTGAGTGAGCAGATCTACCTCTGGACAACGCTGCAAAATTTCCTGGACACACACTGTGTTGCCATAGTTACAGGCTTCATGCAAAGGCGTCCAGCCAGCATTGTCTATATTAGAAATCAAGGCAAGTTTTAAAACAGCGAAAGTGGGACTTTTGGTAGTAAAGTGTGCATATTGTACTTCTTTTATCAGTATGACTTTCAAACTGCCTCATATATATACATATATATAATGTTTTGATAAATACGCATAGCCTTGTCCTTCTGATTTTTAGAAAACACATTACATTAAGGAAAAACAATTTAAAAATATAATGTTGGGCTCTAACTAACCTACAGATAGCAAAAAAAAAGCTTTATAATGAGTTAATACAAAGCAATAGATCATGGATTCCTTGGTTTTGGTAATTTTAAAGATATCTTAGATAAGTTTATTTAAATGATTTTTTTTAATATTGACATAGAACTATTTAATATGATAAATATGAAAACTAAATATCAGATAGAACACAGATTTACAGCTTACCTTTAACATTGATGTCTATTCCTGGTAAAGAAAGAAGAAGAATCAATTTTTCCACTTGGTTATTTATGCAAGCTTTATGCAGTGCTGTTTCTCCTGCCATAAAAAATTAATAGATTACTCCAGAGAAGACAAGATATTAACGAATGACAATAATCAAAGAGCATGAACTAGGAGATGTGGCCCCATGCCAGAAAATTATTTATTGAGTTTTCTTTTTGACTGGTTTAAACATCACTTGCATTAAAAAAAAACACAAAAAACTAGGGGGAGGGAACCTCACCAATCCAAGAGCTTCTGTTCTATCAGCAAGTCAGCAATGAAATTCTACTGCAAAAGGTTTAACACAGGCATTGTCTCCTCCTAGTTCAAGGTTTAAAGCTTCAATCCTGCTATAAAACCCCCAAATGATCAGAGAACACCAAAAATACTGGGTTTTACAGCAATGAAAGTTTTAGAGTGCAATTGCCCTCTCTTAAATTTATTCATGAACCTACGTTAACTGTATGGCTCTTTTTTACACAGCATTTATAGCTTAATTCAAATGAATGTTTCTGGCTAAGCACGAGTGCCTCTACACACTCAAGTATAATTCAGAACTTCAAATCCATTAACAGATGGTTTGCTGCTTCTCAATAGGCTGTCTGGCTTGGCTACAGCAGTACAGAGAGGGAGAAATGAAGGAATCTTAATATAAACACACACACGCACACACACACACACACACACACACACACATATACACACACAGGGTGGGGGGAATCCTTAGTACCATTTAAAGCTCAACAAGGGTGACAAATAGAGTAACAAGGTTTTAAGGTATGCTTTTTTGGGAAGAATGCAATTAATATATGCTAGCTAGAATTCATTCTATATCCATATCTCTGTTACAACCAAAATGAATAAGATGGAAGTGATAATTAGATGATGGTAAGGGAAATTTTAAAAAGTTAAATTGCTTAGGAAGCAAATGAAACACTGAATCATACTCTTTCTTGCTATAAAATACTAAGTAACACAATTTTAGAGTGCTCAGTTTTACGATTATCTCTGCAACTTCTACCAAAAGCACTTTTACATGCACAGAAAAGCTTTTGAAGTTGTTCTCCACCATTTCTCAGTTCTCTTCCTCCCTCCTAGTTCCTTCTGCTACTCAGCTTAAAGTCATTCATATTCATTTTATTTTCTGAGACAATAAAACAAAGAAAAAGTATACTGATTTGCAACATTAATATCTAAACTCTCATCTAATATAATTCTGACATTTTGAGCCAAATGGGAGTTATTCTGAATTTGTATGATGCAGTTATGAACTTACATAATTTTGAAAAATAACACGATTTCTGTCACTACTTTAACAAGGTCACAATGATAAACACAATTCTATTAAAAATACAACATAGCTCATAAATAAGAGAAACTTAGGCTTTACTTTGGCCAGGTAGAGTCCTGGAAGGTACTTTTATATTTGTAAACTAAGAGGTATCTATGTGGAAGAGGTGTTAGAGTGAATTATTACAACACTATTCTTGTTATTCTACCCTTTAGGTACTTAGGTTCCAGTATAGTTAGAACCAAAAGCCAAACACATTTCATAGTCTGGGCTCAGTGCCTGGAAGAAAAGAGTCCATATGCTTAACACAGCTATGTAACATAGCCTACTCCTCATTCTTTGTTCACAAAATGTCTAAGACTGAAAGAGATGAAGACTGACTGAATTATACTTTCAAATCAGAAAACACTGATTCTAAGCAGCACACGTTGAGATGGATTAGAAAAGTAAGGCGGGCAAATCTGGAATAAGCTCAACAAATACTATACACCATGTTTAGTAATTGTAAAAGTATGGAGAGAAAAGAAGAGAAGGAATACTCTTATATACGTCTATATTTATAAATGTTATGACCATTTCCTTTGTACTGATGACAGTTCAAGAAAACAATATGTTATACAAGAAGGTATTCTCAGTATTTTTCAAGATTTAAGTTAAAGTATTCATTAGGGTAAGTATGTTAAACCTACAAGTACTAACTAAATCATGAAAAGTTCTTAGCAAAAATGAATTAAGATACTTGGAATACCTTTTAGATTAGTTTTGTGAACATTTAGCTTTGTAATTAAAGAGAGGCAATTCTCCTTGGAATATGACAGTTCTCCTTCTGACTTCTTATTCAATCTTTTACATGATGAGGAACATTTAGTAAGGTTCAGCTCTCTGAAAGCAAAGTCAGAAATAATCAAAACTTGGTTTTCCAACATGACAAGCCAGTTTAAAAAAAAAAATACAACCTTCTTTTCAATTAAACCACCTTACACATTCAAATCTATACTTTCTATTTTAAAATTTGTTTAAACTGCTTAGAAACAAATTTTAATGTATTTCTTTTCACTTTGTTAAACCTCACATTCATATCCATCATTGATAGTTCATGAATATGGAATGTAGGGTAAAAAGAAAAATGGAACAAGTAAACCTCTGGGAGGGAATATGCAGTAAAAAATTAAAATCAAGATATAGGCCTTTACACCCCATTTTATTCTGAACTGCTGCTATGTAGCTTTGAGATGGAATCAATCCATGGCTAACCCTCCACTGGGTTTCCATGGGCAGAAATCATGAGAGGAGATTGCCCAACCTTCTCCCACAGAGTAGCTGGTAGATTTGTGCCTTTGGGATTGTAGAACAGCTTCTTATCACTAGAACTCATTCTGACGCTATCTGCTGATTTTTTGAAAGAAAAAAAAAATTATTTTTTTGTAGAGAATACTTCAGGTTTTCAGAGTTCTTACAGATCAGGTGTTTACAGGAGGGTTCTCATTTTGAAAGTTATTATAATAAGAAATGCTGTTGTTATGTGCCTTTGAGTAGATTATGACCTACCCTATGAATAACAGTTCTGAACCCTGCCCTATCTTAAGCTAATCTCACTATTTCTAACATACCTGTCTCCCGTGCCACAGTCATGATGTTACTTCATCTCACCCAAGGTTTTCCTCTACTGAAATGGCCTTCCAAGCATAATGTCCTTCTCCAAGGATAGTTGCCTCCTGACAACATGCCCAAAATGTATGAGAATTTCAAAATCACTGCCTCTAAGGAGCAACCTATTTTACCCTCTCCTGAACAGACTTGTTTGTTCTCTTGGCAGTCCATGGGAGGTTCAATACTCTTCTCTAGAACCACACACAAAAGTATTAATTCTTCTGTCATCCAGCTCCCAGATGCACTGCAAGTAACTGAAAAGATCATGGCCTGGATCAGGCATACCTTAATTTCTAGACTGATATCATTGGTCTTTAGCACTCTGAAGAGGTCCTTGACAGCAGATTTTCCCAAAGTAACTTGTCTTTTGATTTCCTGACTGCTAGTGTCAAAAGAGAGAGTTGACTGTACAGCTAATCACAAATTAAATACTTGGGAGTAAACCTAACTAGAAACACAACAGATATTCAAATAAAATTACAAAACATTACTACAAGAAACAAAAAAAGACCTGGAGAAATGGAAGAATATACCTTGCTCTTGGATAGTAAGAATCAATATTGTGAAAATGACAATCCTACCAAAGGCAATTTACATGTTCAATCCAATACCGATACAAACACCAATTCCATTCTTCGATGAGATGGAAAAGGTAAGCTCCAATTTCATTTGGAATGGAAAGAGGCCCTGAATAAGCAAAGTACTCCTTAAAAAGAGAAACGAGGTAGGAAGCATCTCACTCCCTGATTTCAAATCTTACTATACTGCTGTGGTGGTCAAGACAGCATGGTACTGGTACAATGATCAATGGAACAGAATTGAGAACCCAGAAATCTACCATCTACCTATGGTCAGGGATGTGTCCTATCTCCATACCTTTTCAACCTATATGCAGAACAGATTATCTGAGAGGCTGGGTTCTATGAGGAGAAGTGTGGCGTCAGGTTTGGTGGAAGATCTATTAACAATCTGCGTTATACAAATGACACAACCCTGTTTGCTGAAACTGAGGAGGACCTGAAACACCTGCTGCAGAGGGTCAAGGACTGCAGCCTTCATTATGGATTGAGGCTCAATGTCAAGAAGTCAAAGATTCTCACTACTGGACCAACCAATTGGCAGCATCAGGATGGATGGTGAAGAGATTGGAATTGTTAACAACTTTAGTCTGCTTGGCTCCATGGTCAACACTCTTGACACCAGTAGCCAGGAAATTAAAAAACGTATTGCAATGGTAAAGTCTGCTGTTAGGGACCTCTC